GGACACACAGCTGTAAACGCTGAGGTTTGCATGTGCTCATAAACTTAAAGAAATTGTGTGGACATTGCCTCAAACAGTCAGTAATAATTCTTAGATAATTGTCATTCAAGAGGAACATTTTGTATAAAGACGCTTTATTCTTAAACAGTACATTTATTTTAAATTGGTATTCTCGAAGAGTACATCTTAGCTAGCTTTCAAGCAGCATCGTTGATGAAATAATGAATATGAATCACTTCCTTCTTCTTAAATCGCTGCAAAATTATTATAAACCTTAGCTCGCTATCGAGGTGATGTTATACCAAGAACGGAACAGAAAGAGGTGTGGAAGGAACCCACTTGAATCACTTTATTTCGACATTCATTAGTAGTTTTGGTGAATTGAGGCGTTTTTGGTATTTCTTTTATTTTTAATTTTCCATTTTATATTTTAATCATTACTTTGGTTGTTGGGTGTCCCCAATTAGTTTACGTTTGTCAACTAGAACAACATTAAACTTAATATTTCTTATTGGATATTTATCGTACAAAGCCAACTTGACAATTAACCTTCAACGAATATTGTTTTTTTATTATTAAATTTTATTCATCTAAAGCTTTTTAAAATGCTATACTGAAATTAACTTATAGAACACGTTCAAGTAATGAAGTATGCCTTATAGCTTTGTATTCTTTTAATGAAAAATGATAACTATATACCGTAAATAAATTCCGAAAATAAGCCCGGGGCTTCTATTTTTCAAAGGCCCTTTTTGAGGGGCTTATTATGTACGGAGGGAAATTTGCGTTTCAAAATCGATTCGGCTAGCCTTATAGTTGGAAGGAAATTTACCGTTTTTGCTTTGTTTTACTTTGTAAAGTTGAGGGCAATATCCTAGTACAAGCCCCCGGGGGCTTATATTTCGAGGGGCGATTTAACGGAGGCTTTTTGCGTTACTTGTTTGGGGGCTTATGTTTGGCGGGGCTTATGCATGGGGGGCTTATTTTTGGAATTTCATGGTATATTATGAAAATAAACTATCAAGATTCCATCTAGACTGAAGGAACATGTCATCCCTAATACGTCAAAATACCTGCAGTCTGTCAATCATTAGCATATATCCATCAAATTAGGAAATTGTTAATACTCTTAATTAAAAGCAGTGACATCTGGGAGTTTGTAGGCTAGTGAAGGACGAAGCGAACAAAAATGGCTCACTCGGACAAGAATATCTCCTATAAAAGTTTTTTTGTTCATTTTATGGTTTTTATGTCTCTTCGTCAAAATTTGGCATCTTCAGGTGAGAAACTGGTGAATTCTGACCATTCTAGTGATATTCAGTCAGTTTCTTAAGTATATTGGCCTACGTTAATTAACTGTAGTTATCTACCACTTTTTGCAAATTCGTGAAATGTCATAGACTATATATAGTACTTTTAATAAAAACCCTAAACTTTCGAGGCCCAGAAATTGAAAAGTAAAATTTAACCTTACACCAAAACGAAGGTAGTGCGTGCGAGTGCGTGTGCAAGTGGGGTGTTTTCTGTTTCACAATTTGGTTTGTCGTGATCCGAAACATGCATTTATGTTTTTTAGAATGTTCCTTTTCGTGTTGTCACGGTAAAAGTGTCGAGTCACAGATCGGCTCCTGCAGCAGGTTCTTTCATCGAGAAGTAAAGGTACCGAGCTCCACTGAAATGCACCAAGAGTGACACTCCAAAGTTTCCGCCATCTGTCATAGATATTCGGTGAAACTAGGTCAGGTACAAGGTAGTGAAGAGAATGAATAAATGAACGAATGAATGATGGAATCACCGTGCTCATTTCCACGATATACAATGCTTAAGAATACGGCTATTTGGGAGACTTTCCATAAAGCCAGCGTTATGACCGACTTTGACTCTTTTTGTTTATCAACCTCCCTTCCTGAAAAATGCCTTTGAATACTTTAAAGTTTGTTTCTACTTTTCCCTCCGGGGAAAGTAGTCTTAATTTGGCTTTTTGCTGTTCAAGGCCTCGGTGATTAAACTCAAGACATACCCACTGACTGAGTTGTACAAAACAATATATTGACTTAACTCGTGGAGAAGAAGTGTTATGAAAAAATTGGAAGATACTATGCATGCAGCTCTTTAAACCACTGAGGAAGAGGGATCTCCCTCGAAACGTCTGGATTTTTGTACCGTTTCAACGCCCATTTTGATAAACTTTGTAAAAATCGCCGAGAGGAAGCCTATTTTCGGCCTTTGTTCCTACTGTTATTCGCAGTAAAAGATGCGCATTTAAAAAGGACGCTCGACGCCGTGAGTTTTAGCGCTCATGCCAGAAAAAGCCGTACAACTCAGCGGCACCCAACGACTGTTTTCTTTAAAATATCTGTTCGGAGAAGCAAATATTGCCTAGAGTTTCCTATTACTTGACGACGGCTGAAAATTTCTAGATGACCGTTCCATTCATGTACAATTTTCGAAGTTTATTTAATAAATTCCCTACGATTTTATGAAGTTTAATTTTCCCATTTTACTTCCCAAGTTATGCTATTTTTCATAGAAAAAGGGAAACCTAAAATTTTCGGATTAAAAATGGAGAGAGGGATTAGAAAATGTCTCACTTTCGTAATGCGTCAAATTTCACTGATCTAAAATTTTCGGGAAATAATACTGATCAGAAGCCCTTGTAATTTCGAAAAGACTCAAGTTGCCCTAGGATGACCGAACAGATACAAATTTTACACTGCCGCTTAATTAGAATGCTTTTCTAGAGATCTAAAAGTACTCTGGATAGCCTAAAAAGTGTTTTCAGTGTATTTAGAAGGAAACCGTCGTTGGTTCCCCTGACAACTACAGAACATGAAAACATTTTCATAACGATTCATTTTTGACAAGAAACTTTGTTTGATCAGACTAATTGTAGTGTATTGAATTCCGAATCAAGCCACCCGAACTGAGCCTGGGTCTAGTTCTTTTCTCTATCAATCGTGACTGTCACCAGTCTGTTTACCATAAGTCTTTCACTGATACTATTCTTTACTTCGTTCAAATCGCATTCAATTATATTACTAGTATGCAGTACACTCCCTCCTTTCTTAGAGATGAAAAGCTGGGGCGAATGAGTCATTTTTAGACTAAGAGTTCTCGTGTGAAAAATAATGACCTTTAATTAAGTTGTTAATACTCAGAAAAGATAATTAAAATTAATGACAAGAATTGCAGACCTGTTTGCTACTGGCTCAGTAAGATGTCATTAACGTCAAGACACAAGCAATATGTCTTCTGAGCAATACTTTATAACTGAGTTAATAACGTGTTGGATAAAACGGCAGGCAAGATGAAAATTTGGCTAAACAAGAACGCTCTTACAGCGCCGGTCAGTCTTACTTGCTTGGCGGAGATTAGATCGAGAAACGAGGAGGCGATTAGTTCTACACGAAACAGGATTTACTCGCTAAAGGTTTTTTACTTCCTACTTTATCGAGGTCGAGTATTCTTCAGGATATTTACTTCTCATTTGTTTTTTAATTGATTTAGTACGCGTGTTAGCAACGACCGCTCTACGCGTGTATAAATACATGAAAATTCATGGGCCTCGCTAATTCCAGAGATGCATACTCATCACAAGACCATTTGCATACAATGAAAGTTTACAACACCCGACCATCGCAGTTTTGCTAATTAAGATTCTTATTTTTTTCGACCACTCGGTAGTGTTCACTTGTTCCAAAGTAATCAACGCTTTCAAGGGATAGAATTCTTGGACCGACACGTTTCGGAAAAGCTCTAAATTTAATCTTTCCTAAGCTTTCTTGGCAAAACATGCTTGGCTTCGGTCACGCAACGATTCTTATTCCCAGTTTCCACGGTCTCCGCTACGAACGTTTGGCACAATGACCTCCCTTTTGTGTCATAAATACGAAGAAAAACGTCTTCCAGATTATGATGAGTCTCGCTGCTTACGCAAGCGAGACTAATGAAACCCAGTATTTTTTCTGTCCCAGTTATTGTGCAACTCTTACGGGCTGTATACATGAAGGGGGGAATATCCTAGAAGGCGGATCATCCAAGCGCCACAAAAGGTGGTAGTTGTCCTTAGTGCTAGGATCTTCCTAGTTGGAGGATCTTAAGGTAGGAAGATCCTGGCACCATGTAAACTGTCTTTGCTAGGAAGATCTTAGTACTGAGGACAAACTAGACAAAAATGGCAGCGGTCGTTCAGTGCATGGCTAATCCATATCACGGCAATAAAGGCCGACATTTTTGTGATTGCGTTACCGCGAGCTGATTGTGTTAGCTCTGCTGAAAGGTAGTTATCAACGCAAGTAAAGACCGCAGAAGGGTCCAAATTGCATTTTTGTTTTTGAGGCCCGCTATTTTGAATTTCTTCTCGATTCTAGATCCTTCTCTACTTGGTACCAGACGGACCGAAATTTCTGCATGAAAACCCAACGAAAAGTTGTTCCTCCTTCCATGTAATTAATCAGTCCCTTGAAAAAAGAATGATACTTATTAATATTAATGATAATTTCTATGTCCATAAGAGGTTAAACTTTAAGTTTTTCTAATCATGCCAGCTGAGGACGATCGCATCATAGTGTTTAAAGAACCTGTACCAAACAAAGTCCTGACAGGTCACGTGATCAGAAGTGAAACCGCACCCAGTGAAGGGAGCTGTCGAGTGAAGTGTTATATGGAGCCCGACTGTGTGTCCATCAATATGGGACCATTGACAGGAGGAAAGATAAAATGCGAATTGAATAACGCCACTGCAGAAAAGGAATTTGTGTTTGATCTAAGGACCAAAGATGCCCACACTTATCTGGCCATCGAGGTAAGCGCTTTTGTTTGGAACTCATCGTAGATACAGAATCTCTAACGACCTCGGGTGACGAGGCTGCTCATAAAGATTGATGGGGGCTGACGTTTAGTTTACAAGAAGATCTAACGTCAAATTTTTATTCCGCTAGTGGAATAGCCTGCGTAGCAAGCGTTTCCGGTTGTGTTATTGCGCGAAACTTGGGGCGAGAGTAAAATAAATGCTCTCGTCCCAGCTTTTCTCGACGAGCTCAAGTGGAAACGCTTGCTACACATTCTGCTACTGGAACTTAGCGAGTTTGACATCAAGATCGCTTAAATGGTTCGTTCAAGACGTTTTTGAACAAACAAACGACAATAAGCCTGTTGCGATAGGAGCATTTTAAGCGCGAATGCACCAGCGAATTAATATTCAAATCATTTAAAGTCTTGTTTATATATTTCTTAAAGTGAGCTTCTCAATGGGGTGATGGCATTGGGCTACCTTAATACTTTGCTTTTTTGCGGCTAACGCTGTAACAATTTCTCCTAGTAACGGGGTTAATTAATAAAGAAGTTTTCGTCTATGAAAGGCAAATTATTTGCGTATGAAAAAAATATACGGAAATTTATCAGCAGCGAGACAAGACACACAAACGGCTTTCACGATTTTTACGACTAAGAAATCAAACATTCTACGTGGGACATCTTACATTACACCTGTTGACTCTAATGAATGAAGTTTTGACTTCTGGCTATCGGTTTGTCCATTCTTAAGCCCTCTAATATACTTATAATCTGGTAGTTGTTTTTGATTGCTGCTCCTTATTCCAGAATCCCTGCAGCAGTAGTCCATGTCTAAACAACGGGACATGTCAAGCTGGATTCACAAGTAAAGGGTTTCGTTGTATATGTCTTCCGGGATTCCCCGGAACAAACTGTCGTGCAGGTACGTGCATGCAACAATTTTTATTGCACATTTGGCTTAAACCATGCATAAAAAGAGAGATCAGGATTAGGGCCGTAGTCACGAGGGTGAGGCATTTTTTCGAGGAATGCGCACAGGGCTAATGTTCGCTTTCTCTTCTTCCCAGCTTCTTTTTCTTTTCTTTCTTTCTTTCTTTTATTGGACATTCTACGTCTTCTACTAGACTTCATTTCAATGGGAAACCTTTCAGCTGACGCTTCGCTAAAGTCACGAAGATCGGGAAGTTTTTTTTAAAGGGAGTAGGGCTCTGGTAGTGTCAACGAAGAAGATTTTCAAAGGAATTTTCTGATCAACTGTAGACGTTTTTGAGTATTCCTCTGTCTCGTTTAACTGAATCGTGCATATTTGGGTATGGTTCGAACGATCTCTCTTTCCTATACTGCACAGTACATGTTAGCGGTCAAAACTGTCCATGAACGTAATAGTGATGACGTCACAAGTGGTACAATGGACGATGATATGCACTGTCGGTAATGGGTGGCTCGAGTGTGAATAGGTTAAAGCAGTGTAAAACTGATGAAGCCGCATGCACACCAAGGAAGTGCAAGTAGTCGTCGGTTAGTTCCTGGGGAATATCCCAAGAGTTTTGATTTATAACTAATCCTGATTATTGTCAATCACCGTGTTTAGCCAAATCATGTAGTGACCTGAAGAAAATTAAGCCTAGAGCAGAAAGTGGAAGCTACGTCATTGACCCTGATGGAGAAGGTGGCTTGCTTTCTATGTATGACGTCATCTGTGACATGGCCGACAAAAAGGGAATTGGCGTGACAGTCATCAGTCACGACAGTGAAAACAGAACACGAGTAAAAGGATGTGACGCTGAAGGATGTTACTTACGTAACATTCATTACACAGGAGCGAATCTGTCTCAGCTAGCGAGTCTCACCAGAGTCTCCCTGCGCTGTGAGCAGTTTATCAAGTATGAGTGTTATCATTCAAGGTTATTGCATTCCGATAAAAGAGGTCCATTCGGATGGTGGGTGTCACGTGATGGCAATAAGATGACGTACTGGGGCGGAGCAACTGAAAATGGCAAATGCGCCTGTGGAATGAAAAAGACATGTGCAAACACCAAACGTGGTTGTAATTGCGATAAAAATGACCCCAAGTGGCGTGAAGACAGTGGTTTCCTCACTGACAAGACAAAGCTTCCGGTCAAGCAGCTCAGGTTTGGAGACACTGGAGACACGAATGAACAAGGTTACCATACTCTGGGGAAATTAAAATGTTATGGTATCGCCTGATAAAGCAAACTACACTCAGATAAAACTAATTGTATTTGTGTATCATTTTCGTATGGACAATCAATTGACCTACCCTACAAACGTTTCCTGTATCTCCTTATTGAACTTGTCAAACCACTGACATGATAAACAAAAAGTTGGATTGGCTATAAGGGTAACGAGCCTAGCTAGGTAACCTTTTTTGGATAGTAGGGTCACCTTCCTAGTCGGGCCAACTTTTTTCCACATAATAACTTTGGCTCGCCCAGCCGGATCAACTTGGTCAAGACCAGACAATAGAGTACTAGTGCTGTTTTAGACAATCAGAGCATGCGCGAATGCTCGGGCAAAAGGTTGGCAAAGGGGTCAACATTTTTCTCATATAAACGCTCGCTGACGGTTGTCTCGGCTGGGAAGGTTACCCTCTTTCCTGCGACTGCTTTTCTCCTAATAAACGGGACCTTTATGTCAAATGCAAGTTAAGACAAAGAGATGATCGGAATGGATTTTTAAAGATGTTTCCCTGAATGGAAGTCAGGCTGCGGTGTGTTCCCGAAAGTGCTAGGCTGGCACAATAGTGTTTCAGAGTTTCAGTTTATTTTACCACAATGAATAAAGGACAAGACTACAGGAATACGCAGAAGCAACGTAGTGAGGAAGCCCAAAAAGAAACCATAAGGCTTATAGATATTGGGCTCACTCAAAGTATAAAAAAGTATCCGTTTACAAGGCCAGAATTGAGCGTATACTGAGTAAATTAAATGACATTGATTAAAAGGTAAATAACTAATATAAATATGTATAAATAGAAAGCAATAAACGTATAACCTATATACAGAGACACTGTGAAGAAAAAATGACTAATTACAGAGTTTTCATAGATAATTCTCAGAGGAATGTTTGCGAAGAGTGTTTTTGAATGAGGAGTGAGAACGAGAATCTTTCTCATTTCCTAAGAGTTATAATAAGATGGTCCTTGGAAACTCACAGAACTTCGAAGATTGGTTTAGAGGAAGATGAACGTCATTCGCGTATGTAGTACCTGTTTTTTAAAAAAACAAATCTAGCTCTTCGCTAGTTAATTTAACTTGTTTAGAATTTCTTGACACATATGCACTTCTATTTTACAACTTGATTATTAGTTTAAGTTCTTGGCTAACGGGAATGCGAAAAACATTTATCATTTATTACATTAGTAGCAAATTTATAAGTGACTAGCTACAGTCAGTGAAAGTTTGTACGACAGGCCAGTCTCATTAAAATTAAAGACATTAAACAAACAAAGGTGCAGTTGAGCCTCGATATGTTATGCTGGGCAGTGGATTTTAATTTTAAATTTCCAAAAAGAACTTTTTGGCGCAATGCTATGAGATTTTCTCTCTTGAAAAAAAGCTCGCTTAGCAAAGCTTGGCCTGTTCTGGACAGTTGCAAACATAATTCTTATATCCTGCCAAGAGATAATGATCCTGCACATGTGTTGCTCATTCCGCATACGCCCTTACCACGGCCGGGAGTAACCCCTCCCAAATTGACATTCTAGGAGAATTGCGTGACACCCACCAACCAAAAACCTGGCTCTCATTTTTGTTTAAGACCGAGCCCTTGATATTTAATAAATTGCTCACTGCAGTGTGACGAGACATTGGTGATACTCGTTGGGCCCTTTTTGGTCCGAAAACGGGTATCCATTTGCTCATTTTGGTCTGATATCGGGTATGGTTTCGTTTCAATTTCAAATGAATAAGAACGGTTGGTTTTCACTTGACGTCACGAAAACTCAAACTAAAAAACTATCGACCCTACGGAGATTTTACTTTCACGATGCATTAGAGTAGCTGAAAACTAATTTTCATACAAATTTTCGCTTCAAAACGGTTCTTGGTTTTGTGATAGAGTACGCTTGAATTTCTGAGCTTTTGCGTGACGCGCCATTTATATGACGGCCAAGAGAGCTGTCACGTAGGTTTAAAAACTGGAGATGACTTTATTTCAGGAAATTTTGCTATCCAAACAGTTCATCTATTAGAAAAAGTACTACTTTACTGTTTATGAGTTTCTCAAAGAATAAATTGACGCTTTTGTAGCAAAACTCGGTAACAGATGTTTCTGTTGGTTTCCGTCCGCCATGTTGGAGCTCATCCAGGTGTGCACCAGCATGGCGTCTCCATACAAATCTCTATAAGTTTGGGTAAAACATTTCTTCGGATATCTCGTATACGAAAAATTCCTCTGACCCGAATCTTGGCGAGGGTCTTTGTATATTTAACTCCTTTCATTTCCCAGATTCTGGACTTTATCTATTGAACGGCTTTGATTTTGATTTTGATCTATTTTGAATGGCGTGACACTGAAAACCAGCAATAGAAATATGCGAATTCCAAATGCATATGAAGAAATCTTTTGTCTGCGCTCTGATCTAAGTAATCATCACATTATTTCTGCCTAAAGGCCAGGTCTGAAAACAGGTATGGATTTTAGAGGTCTGGTCTGGTCTGAAAACGGGTGTAGGAAAAGACATTTTTGGTCTGAAATGAAATAGGTCAGGATTTGGAGAACCGGGCGGCACACCCCCACCAAGAATTCCCAGGAGTACCCCCCGGGTGAAAATTACACTTGTAAAAGTTTTTTAATTACCCCTGGAGTTTCATGTCCCGACACATTACACAGGTGTTCTATTCTCATATTCGTGACGGATGTGTCACACCAACTTCACCCTATTGTCATTCATCTCAGGCTTGCCACCAATGTATGACGTGAGCGGTCCCTCATTATGACTGAACTTCCACTCTCCGCTATAAATGGTAAAAAGTTGTTGTGGTTGCCTAAAAACGGTCTGATTACTCAGCACTGAGCACTTAGATCACTGGCAAGGGTCTTACAAGACCATGAATTTTAAAGAAATACGCTTATGGAGTTAATAATGCGGAAAGGCATTTTCGAGCACAGGTAGCCCAAGGTTTTATTGGAACCTTTAGTTCTCTTTATAAAGAGAAAAAAATCATGATAGAGAACAGAAACCGGATAAAAACCGGTTCATAAAATGGCCATAAGTTAAATATGCTCGATGACCACTCAGAAAAGAAGAAACACACAACTTAAACTTGATTTTTTTTAATCTTTTAACATTTCAAGGCTACAAGAACAGTGCACGCAACAATGCCAATGGTTACACATTTTGAGCTTGGGCTATCTGTGTTAAGAAGTCAGTAAGTTTATAATTCCAGAGGAGAGATCCACACGAAATAAACTGCAACAGTTTTAAAACACTCCTGAGTTTACGGCAATACATGTTTTCAATTCCTTAATTAACTAAACGCATGTATTACCATTATACTTTTTTAGGATCATTGTATTTGTCAATCATACCTATCACCCACTGTTTTTCAGAATTTTTCAATAATGACCGAAAAATCTATCTCAGTTGCCAATAATGACTTTATGTTGCCGGCAGTAAGAACTGCAGAACCATCTTAAGCCGTTATCGAACAGCCTATTCTTCGAGAGCTCATACACATGCAATGCTTTGTTCCGTATATATGGAAGAAAATGAGGAAATGCACCCATGATGAAGTCTCAAAAGAACTCTGACTTATAATGCATTTCAACAATACCAAAAACTCTACAGAAGGTTTTTCCGAATTTAAAGTGAACAAGTTCGAAATTTCAGAACTTGGTCCTCAATATTGTTAGCGTACATTTTTGCTCAGTCTGCTGTATTGTATGCGTTTCTCTTGGTAATCATTAATATTTATTCAGTTTATTCTATATTGGTGTTGGGGTTTCAAATAATTCTAAAAAGGCAGGTTGTACGGTTTAATTCTAAAAATTAGCGTAAATATAGAGCTTTATACTACTACATGAGAAATTTCTGCAATTAGATTGGCTTAGAGCAGTGGTATTTCAGCTTAATTTGAAATAGCTACATGTGAAAATTACAAACCTTTTGCGGGTAGTAGTATAAACAAATAATAGCATGATTTGTGCTTGATATTTGGCATAAATACCACTCCTAATATTTCAAAATTATCTCAAATTTCACTCGCCTAAAGGCTCGTGAAATTACCTATAACAATTTTGAAATATCACTCGTGGTATTCATGCCAAATATCACCACAAATCATGCTATTACCTATACTAACCTGACCTATAATACCTAACCTGACCTTGACAGTAAATTTTCATTTCTCATGTAGAAGTATAAAGATCTATATTTACTCTAATTTTTAAGAGTTAAACACTTTGCGGTCTTACGCTTTTTAGCTCACCCCAACAACGGCATAATTTATTACAAGCGGTACTGAGTGATCAAACCAAAATTTGTAGGCCCGAGCCTACAAGTCTATGGGCTTGCTACGCCCCTGCCACCCATTGGTTTTTCAGTAGTTTTTAGACTTAATCTGGACCCCTTTTTTATTCCGAGGATAATTCCTTAACTCTTTGCATGGAAATGACAATGGAGGGTTCCCTAATTTATGTTAACAAATTAAAGGTACAAACACGAGGCTGAAAATGACAAGATAGAGTGTCCTCTCTTGTGTCTGATCCCAGCGTGGATCTTATTTCATTTTGTGTACTCGCTGCAGATTGGGGTGTGCCAACGCTTAAGTAAACATGTGCTGGGCTTTCAAACCTTACAAAAATTGTTCTAAAATACTTAAAAGCTTTGATTTAAACTTTCCCTTTTTTCTTTTCATTTTGAACGTGTGAAAATAGGTAGACCTGGTAAAATAAAGTAAATAACCAGTTTTGTTAGAAGGACAATTTTTTTCAAGCTCATTCACGTTTTGTTTGTTAGTGCAATCATTCAAACCATGTCTGAACGCCGGTTAAGCCTCGACATTGGCTGTAGATTATTCTTATTTCAACAACACGTTTGTTGCCGCCTTATATAGAATGTGCTTTATAAGCAAAGGAGTATTGGGTAATACCCCCTTCTATAAAAGAAAGGTTTAGATTTTAGCATCAAGGTTTGTCTGAAGTTATATATACCCCTCTCCCTCCCCCAGTATTATTTCATAATA